GCGAGCATCATGGGCAGATCCAGCTGCTCGATTTGAAGGGAGCTATCATAGATTTTTGTGAAATAATAAACATTTGTTATTATTTTTGTAGATAGTGTATAAAAGATACTAAACAATATTACTTTTTAAACAATTCCATAATTCTAACATAAATAAGTATTTAATTCAATTTTGCCAAATAAAAGAAGGAAACAAGAACTCAAGGTTTGGTGGGGGGAGACATGGCTGGCGGCTCTAAAATAACAAATCCTAACGACTAAGCTCATGACGTCATGAGCTTCAGGCAAAGGCATGCTCTATGACTAGGGAGCCTTGTGCAACTATATGAATTCTCAATGCAAGAGAGAAAATAATTTCATTTTTATCGAGACTGCAATGGAATCGGAAGATTTAAAGCTATCACGTTAACCATTAAAAAGTTTTAATTTGATTTTCTTCAGAACTAATAACTGAACAGCTATATTAAAATTTGAACATGCCATTAAAAGTGCTTCATACTTCAAGTGATCAAATATTAATATTTACTTGTCATCAAATTAGGACGGAGATGGTTTAAATAAAATGGCATTTTAGATTATCAATCTGAACAAACAAACTTTTTTCTTCAATTTTTAAACAAATATTCCAACCTGTGCCTTTTATGCATTGCCATAATAATCATTAATAAAATGTTCAAATTAATTATTTAAAAAAGTGCAGAATGGCGACTAATAATACTAAATCAACATTTGGAAAATGAAGTACTTTTGGAGTGTATTGAGAGTAGCATAAGAAGTATCTTTTTACCAAGACAAGTATCAAGTTTGCAATTTCTGTAGTTAACCTCTGTGTGAGAGAGATATTGACATCCTTGTAATCTAGTTTCACAAGTTTGTGAATGTGTTAATGAAGAGTAAAAAATATTTAAAACGTTACAAATATTTTTAAATTAATTATCTTCTATAAATAATTCTTAATTATAATAAATGTTCATAGTTAATTGATTAATAAATTATAAATCCAAAAATTGAATATAAATTTTATTTACATAAAGAAATTAATATCTTATTTTTTCTTTAATCATTATTTTTTTTATGTGGCTTAGTAAGGAACTACATGTAACTTAGTAAGGAAAGAGAGAGGATGGAAAATAAATTATTTAATTTGTTTTAATTGTAAGTATTTATTTTTCTCTACGTTCCTTTTTTGGTGTTAATACTGTTATTCACCATCTTGCAAAAATTATTGAGAAGAATATTAATACTTTGGACACCATACACCTCCAAGCAATTGTATTAGTATGTACATGACAAAATTAAAACATCCAAATTTCATCAAAATCTAAAACATTTGCTTTGACAAGCTGAAAAGAAGAATTTCTGATTCTTCACTTTCAAGAAACTCTATACTTTCTCCAAAAGCTTTTGTAAAATTACAAATGTTTTGGTCACACAAGTAATGGAACTTGCGGAGGATAATGTAATCCTCCCCGGTCAAGACTCCAAATTAATCTATATTCAGCACTGCAAGCAAGTTCTCTATTTACAACAACAAAATCTGCACATTTGTCACATTTTATTGAATTGAATTGGTCTTATTTTACGTGGCGAGACTCGGGCCTTCAGGCCCGCTCTTCCGTCTGACCACGCAAATTTCGCTACTCCTTTCATTTACTAGAAGAGAAAGGAGGTATTTCTTGGGCGAGAAACAGGCGATTTGAATTTAGCTCAGAGGCGTCATTTAGGCTTGAGGATCTTTTACATGCAAGTAAATCTACTAACATGGGACAGCCGGCTTTACTTCCCCTCCGAAGGA